ACGTGTACATACACATACACATACACATACACACATACACATACACATACACATACACATACACATACACAACACATACGTACATATGCACACATACACCCATTCTTACATACACCCGTACACACATACATACATACACCCATACATTCATATAGCCATACATCTATGCATTCATACATCTAGACACACATGCATACATACATACGTACATACGCACATCCATACACATACTCACATGCACACTTGCATACATACATACTCCCATACATACACACATACACACATACATATGCATACATACATGCACATACGCATACAAACGTACATGCATACACATACATCTGTACATGCATGCATCCATGCACGCATGCATACATACGTACATACACACATGCGTACACACATACATACATACACACATTCATTCATACATACATTTATGCATACGAACACACATACACATACATACACACATACATGCATACATACATACATGCATCCATACATACACAACTGTATGCATGTATGCATACATGCATGCATATATACATGCATACAGTCATACACACATACATTCACATGTACGTGTATATTCACACATGTGTCAACACGTGTGCATATATGTTTATGCACAAGGCAGCATTGGATGAGTCAATTATCCATCTATGGAGAGATCGACTCATATGAGTATGTATGTATGTCTGTCTGTCTGTCTGTCTGTCTGTATGTATGTATGTATGTATGTATGTATGTATGTATGTACGCACACACACACACCTTGCACTCCTGCTACAGAGGGAGAGCTTTCCACCTGGCGCCCGTACCGTCCCGGGCGGCCCGGCCCGAGCCTCGCGTGCCCGAATAGCGGCCCGCCGCTGCCTTTGCTCGGGGCACCTCGCGTCGCGGCTTGACGCTGGCCTGCCCGTGGCGCGGATGGCGCGGATCTCCTGCGGGGGCCTCCGCGAAGGACCTTGCTCGGCTTCGCGGAGTCCTGCACGACCTGGTGCGCGCGAGGGTGCCTCTGGTGCTCCAATTAATTCCCTCTGAGCTTGAGTCGGGCATGTCCCTCTACAGAAAAAAAATGTTCCAAAAACAGTTAAAAACAGTCTGGGGACACGCACCATCGGCACATGCACGGACAGGGTCACCGGGCACCACATCGCACGCCTCAAGTGGGATCAATGGGAGCCCGAGTGGAAGACCGCGCCAGTCGATTGGGCGGAACGGGGACTACCGGGTCCCTGGATTCCGATGTGCCGCGGCCAGGAAAATGGTCTTCCCACCAGCCTGGGACCACGTCCCAGTCCTCCACCCGACGACTTACCAGGAGTTCACGGCTTTGCCGCCACTGGGAGTAACCGGGAACAAAGATCAAGTCCGCCCACCAAACAGTGCCTGGGCCCCTGGAGCACCGGCGCATCCCCGAACACGGAACACCAGGACACCGAGTGAACCCAAACTATTGACCGCCGACGACATCGCTCGCAACGAGAAGGCAGCGCAAGCGATGGCACCACCAGGGCCCTCCGGTGGTGCCTTGCCAGTCGCCCCCCCTCAGGAAGAGGCCGCCTCGGTACTCGGCACTGGCAGCCCAGGTGTCGCTGAGAGCGCTGCTGGCCATAGTCCCCACGGCGCACCTGGCGTTGTTCCCAGCCGGCCAGTCTCCGGGACACAGGGCGGCTCAGGACAGCCAAGTGCGCCGTCCAACCCTTTCACCACACCGGGCGTCGCAAGCAACGAGGAGCCGGAAACCGAGGTTACTACGGGTCGCGGACGGGATGCCGCTACTGAAATCAGTCTACCTTTTCTGGTGGAATCACGGAAGACAGGCGATCATTCCCTCGATTCCCATCGGAAGGGTCCCCAGTGGAGTGGGTCACTCTGCCCAACACCTGAGCAAGTGACGTCAAGGAATACGTCGCCAGACTCGTCCGGATGAATCAAATTGAAACGTGTGCCAACTTGGACCCAGACTACGACGGAAAGACCAAAACTCGTAGGGACTTGAAAGCCAAGCGCACCTGCGCCTTAGACGCTTGCCCGGAACTGGTGACACCAGCGAGGCGACACTGGTTCTTTCAGGATTACAAACTGGAGGACTGGATCGAAGAGAGCGAAGCCACGGACTACTACGTGGTCAGCTGGAACGCCGAGTGGCAGCTGACAGCAGACTGCGGGGAGGAAGGAGTACGAGCCGTGCTGCTGTCACACAAAGGACCCAACACCGACGAAATCGCCTGTCTCCGCGTGGTCTTCCCACGCTTCCCCGGGCGAGTCATCCCAGATGACAAGCGTGGGCTCCATCCGCATTGTCGCGTCTACCCAACCAATGGCTGTATGGTCATGCACGACAGGGTCGACGGGCCAGTGCACTGCACCTCTGCTGTAGCGCCCCTGCCTGAAAAGACAAGTGCGCCTCACTACTGCGTCGACATCGCGCCCAGTGCGATCCAGCACGAAAAGGTCAAAACCGCCTTACGAACATGTACCATTCGAACGTACACTGGAACGGTCTATGGGGGACCACGCTAGCTGAGTTGCCATGCGCGCTGGCCTTTGCGACAGACAACAACGGGAAGAAACGAAGTTTCAACGACACTTGCAGGAACGCGCTGAGCGGACAGCTTCTGCGTCTCCGAAGTCGTGCAACGTTCGGAGGCCAGTTGCTCGGTCCGGACCAGTTTGGCGACCTGGTGAGCAGGCCGGGCGCGGTGGAACCGATCACGGGCGTCGAACTAGACGAACGCCCAGGCTCGGCGTTGCAGCGTGCCAACAACGTGCCCGCTGAGGACACCATCAAAGGGGTCATTGCAGCGCATGACCTGACCGATGACCACGCGCAGGCATTCCGCTCATCCGTCAAACATCTCGTCACGGCGGCACAGGGCCCGCCTGGCAAAAGGAAAACGCGTTTCGCCGCCGCGCTAGCCAGGATTTGGGCACATGTCGCTGGACTCGGTTCTTCTGTTCTCGCCGTCGCTGGCTCCAACGCAGCAGCAGACCAGGCGGCCGCCGCCTTCGAAACAGCGCGCAGAGAGGACCGCCTCGACAACTTTCCGCAATGCCCGAGCTGCGCTGTGCGACTTGCAGTGGACGAACGCATTGCGCATCCTGGCGCTCGCAAGTTGTCCGCCACCAGCCGCTATCGACGTGCGTGGACACTCGAACCCACCAGGTCCAACAAGAGTAAGAGCTGGCGCAAGTCCAAAGACGACCTCAGCAGCAAATGCAGCATCATCATCGCGACCCACGAAGGCTCCTGGAGGCTCGACCAGCCCAGCGCACCCAAGGTGACCCTAGGTATCACCGACGAGGCCGGCCAGGTCAACGAGGTCTTTGCTGCCATCTCCATCGGCATCATGGTCGACTGTGGCGCCCACATCGTTCTCGTGGGCGATCCCGGGCAGCTCCCGCCAACGGTGCAGTCCGGGTACGCAGAATACTTGGGGCTACAAGTTTATGTTTTCGCTGAAATTCAAGACCCCCCGGGAGAGGACAGACCTGCCGCAGTATTTCTCACGAGTGCCTCAGGTGCCACCCCGACGTCCTTAGCTTCTCCAGGTTCGCTTACTACGACGAGAAGATCGAGTCAGGCCTCATCGCACCACTACAAGACCGTCCCATTGTCAACGGGCTTCCGTGGGTCAAGCACCGTCCACTGGACAACGGGCGACTGGATCATGTCGCCAAACAGCAAGGAAAAGACGTGGACGAATTCATGGGCGAGATCTGCGACCTACGCGCCGAGGGGGCGATGCCTGGAGACGTCTCCCGTGTGCTCATGATCGACAATCCACGTGCGGACAGCGCCTCCGCTATCAAGAGCGGCTGCGCCGACCTCCACGGCGCTGCCACATGCCTTGAAGTTGTTCGCGCGCTTGGCCCCGCCATGCTTAACTTTGAACCAACCGTCGAGGTGATCGCCCCCAACGCGGCGCAGCGGACCGTGCCGTGCGGCGGGTGGCCGCAGGGCAAGAGTGGTTTCTGGAAGAACGCCGCGCTGGCTGAATCGAAGCAGGGTAAGAAAAGCCAAGGCGCTACAGCGGCTTCCGAGCCAAATCCACAGGGCCAGTCATCCAATCCTTTCTCCCCATTTCATGCCCAACCACGCGCGGTTAGCGCGCGCGCCCGCTCTGCTCCTCCTGCCCGCGCCTCTGGCCCAGGCGCCAGCTGCCCACTCGCTGGCCCCCCGACTGCCGACAGCGGTTTGATACTTTCGTTCAAGGGATTGGCCGAAACGTTCCCCGACTTGACGGAGTTGGTCAGCTCTCCCTCTCCACGATTGACGCCAGTCAGGGAGGAGAAGCTGACGTAATTATCCGCAAGGGCTTCGCCCCCTGCCGCCGGCCCCCTCTCTCGGAGAACGGGCCATGGAAGAGCTAAGTCATGAGGCCTTGGCGCTGTCGTGAAGCAGTATCGAAACTTCATGCGAAGCCGAGTCGCAATCAGCAAAACCAACTGATCACAAGAGGGGTTACCACACCTGGCGATTGGTAAGACGTGTATGGTTTAAGGGCTGGTTACCACACCTTGCGATTAAAGGGCAGAGGGAGTTCTCGCAGTTTGGGTTGCCACGCCTTGCGATGGATGTGCGTGATGGGTTTGAAATTCAGAAATGTGGCAACTCCCATGTGTTTTTGGACCCTGACCCCGCGGATCTGCGTGAGGGGTGGCACCGAATTTCAGAAATGTGGCAAATCCCCTGTGTTTTTGGACCCTGACCCCGCGGATCTGCGGAGGGGTGGCACCGAATTTCAGAAATGTGGCAAATCCCCTGTGTTTTTGGACCCTGACCCCGCGGATCTGCGTGAGGGGTGGCACCGACTTTCAGAAATGTGGCAAATCCCATGTGTTTTTGGACCCTGACCCCGCGGATCTGCGTGAGGGGTGGCACCGAATTTCAGAAATGTGGCAAATTCCCTGCGTTTTTGGACCCTGACCCCGCGGATCTGCGTGAGGGGTGGCACCGAATTTCAGAAATGTGGCAAATCTCATGTGTTGTTGGGCCCTGGCCCCGCGGATCTGCGCGAGGGGTGGCGCCGAATTTCAGAAATGTGGCAAATCCTTCTGTGCTTTTGGACCCTGACCCCGCGGATCTGCGTGAGGGGTGGCACCGAATTTCAGAAATGTGGCAAATCCCGTGTGCTTTTGGACCCTGACCCCGCGGATCTGCGTGAGCGGTGTCGATTTCGAGCCTCCCCAGCAATTCAGACAACGCGCCCAGGGGACGCTGCAAAATCCTGTTTGGGCCTCCCCCCCCCTCGCGCGGTCAATCAATTAGTTGCAGTAACACTGGAAACTACAAGCTACAACTGGTACTGGAAACTACAAACCCGCGCCTACAGCCTGGTGGCCCCGCAAGGGGGCCGGCGGATTTACCTTGCCACGCGCTCCAACGGGTCCTGCGACTGGGTTTTCCCCAACGCGCCAAACAGGACCAACGTCGCCCTGGCCAGAGCTAAACGGTTCGCGGTGCTCATCGGATACCGGCGGATGTTCAAGGCTGCGTCCGAGTCTGCTCGTCGGACCCTCGGCGAATGCGGCGTGGCCGCAGACCACTGGGCGAGATCTGCCTCCGCTGAGCTTGGGGGGGGGGGGGGGGGTCGCAGCGAGGGATGGGAGCCCTTCAGCTCATTAGCTCACTGTGCTCCAACTGCTGAAATCTGAAATCGGGGCCGCCATGCCGGGCATCGACCCAGCCGCAACAGCGCCGAGCGCTGCGTCCAGCATCCTGAAGCAGAAGGTTAAAATGCGAGGGGGCCAGGCCAAAGGTTTCGTCCACAGCATCGACAGACCGCTGCCGGAAGGGTTTGAATGAGGAACCCTGGCAAAGCAGCGCAACGACTCACTGAGGGAGCTCCTGGCCGCGCCCGCTCTCTTTCCTGTTCCCCTCCTTGCATCTGGCCTTCGCCCTCGCGCCCTGAGCCCCGCGCAACACCCCGGCGATCCCAATCTCTATGGCAGGAAGATGTGGAGCCACCAAGGGTTTCTCTACGACGTTACGGTCGGAATTCATGCCGGCAGCCGGACATGCAACAATCTCTGGGCGCGCCTGATGCGCGCGGTCGGGCTCGGCCACAAGTGGGGCGACAACGGCGCTCCGCTCTCGGCGGCCATCCTGCCTGAAGGACCAAGAGGCTGCCTGCAGAAACGCGCGTCCAAGGACTGTCGGGGGACGCCGGGTGGCATGGGTAAACAGCTACCCGCGGTATGGATTGCCACGACGACACAGTGTCCAATGCGCCAACTTCATCCAGGGATGGACGGCCTGGAAAGCATCACCAAACGCGACTGCATGCCTACTGACCCCACCGCGTGTGCTCAGGCCTGCGCGGCCCTCGTGATGATGATGCTAGCGCTTCGGGAACCAAGGGCCTGTCTCTTCCCATGTTCCGAACAAGAAGGGGCAGGGGATATCGTGGATTCCGTCCTGGGCACGTGCAAACCTGGCAGCTCAACTGGCACCGCGCCCGCCGCCAAGGACCTTCATTTCCGGACGCAGGTCGGCCTGGCATCGAATATTTTCCAACCACGACTACCAGAACGTGCATCGGAAATTTACCGACGCGCTAAGACACGTGAGCGCGCTTGCAAGGATCAGCCGCCATCGCGATGTCTCGAAACAAGCAGGATGTCCATCAACGTGGGAAGAATGCAAGCGTTCTGACTTTCACATCAAAGGGGCCCTGCTGGTCATCGACTAGCTCGTCGAACTGCTCCAATTACCGCTGGCTCTCACGGATGACCAGCCTGACAACGACACAACCAGCTGCACCATCTGCTGGCTCTACAAATCCATCGCAGGGAATCACAAGCATCTCGGGTGCACGCCGGACCAGAAGCTGCACAGCGCGGGCGCAGGGCGAGAAATGGACCAGAAGGAGCTTCTCATACCTGAACCCCCTGCAGCGACACTTGGCGCCACAACGACACCGGAAAGGCTTCGAACAGGAGACCAGCGCTTCTCGCCGTCGCAGAACACAGCCAGCTTCCACTGCGACGAGTGTCAGAGAGGCCCCTCCACAAGCTTCGATGGCACCTGGGAGGACGACGATCTGCGTCAACGTATGGCTACGGCAAGGACTGCAGGGCGGCGCGAGGGACTCAACTGCCGTTGGCTGTGCACTGGGTGCTGGGTGGAGAAGCCTCGAGAAGCAAGGTGCTGCTGCCCCCGCAGGCGACTCGACGCGCGAAAAGCTGGCCAACCTCGGGAATAGCATGCCCAGCAGGACCGCAGCCTTCAGTCTGACACCGCCTGTGCACCTCCCGACTGGGCATGCCGAGATCGCAAACCCAACCGCCGATCGTCTGCTACGCGACCTCCCTCTCGCACCTGACTCGGCCAACGACCCCGGGGTGACAGGCGCGCCAAACCCCCCGACGCGACCGGGCGACGGCCGTTTCGGCACAGAGGGGCTCAAGTCTTGGATCTACAGTGCTACCTGCGACGGCTGCCCAGAGCCCGAGCTGCTATGCATTTGGAAACGCGGGCAGCCAGCGGTCGGGTGCTTCGTCTGGCGACCGACTCCCGGCAGGGAGGACGCCGAGCAGTGCGACCTACTTCCCCGGGGCAATTGGATCGACTGCTCGACGAGTGGCGAATGGAACGCGGGGTGGTGCTGCGGGAATTGTCTTGCTCACATCTTTGACGCTGCTCCATCCGTCGTCAACCGCATCCTTGCGCGTGACGCGCCATCGATGTATCCAGCCCCCCCCCGCAGCGCGGACATCCAAGAAGAGGGGGGAGGTCGCGGGGGGCCTCGCCCCAGCACTTGGCAAAGAAAGCGCAGGTGCCGCGCGGCGACGACGCCGATGGGTGCGGGTCACCATCTGAGACGTCGCCACTGCCCGCGCCCAATCCAGAACGAGTTGACGCAAGCAAGGAAATGCTTCCGAACATCAAGACCCCGCAACTGCCAGACGTGGCGCCAGCGCCGGGCTCGACATTTCCTTCCAGGCATGGGCTGACGACAACAGCGGCGAACAGGGGCACACCCCAGTTCAAATGTGCCTGCACCTCAGACGTACCAACGCAGTTGCCAACGACATCTTCTACGTGCTTGCGAACCAGTGCGGGGTGCCATGCAAAGAGTTGGACGTCAACTGGCTCACCGTTCTGGCCTGCTCCACCCTGGCTTGGACGTTCCCTCCGACGGGACTCACTACCGACGGATTGGCGCAGGGCACGGAATGGGTTGGTAAAAGATGGGCCGCTGGACTGGTCGTGCAACGCCTCATCGGGAAGGACGATCGGCTAAATAGACTGCGGGTGCCACGCGCCCACGAAACCCTCCACGGGAACAAGGGCCCGAGGGTCCACAGCACAGACGAACTTGCTCACTGGCTGGCCAGACTTGGCTTCGAGGACGCCCCCGACCATGTGATGCGACTGGGCGACGTTCGCTTGGGAACGCTGGACAGATGCATGCGCCCGCGCGGGATAGGATCTCGGCGAATCGTCCCAATCCGTACCGCTGCACCATTCAACGTGTCCTTTCAGGAGCTTATGGAGCAAATGCCCACGTTGGCTGATGACGCCAAGGAAAACATCCTTTCCTTGTGCGATCCTGGCTCGCAACGGGCACGCGACGAGGAGAAGAGGCTGGGACCCAATGGCAGCGTCGTCATGAACGCCTCTCTCGGGAGGCATTTATCTCCTGCTCACCCCGGCGCGAACTCAAGCGGCAAGCCACTGTCTCGACCCGGAGGTATTCGAACAGTGACAAGGAATACCGGAAGCAGCTCAGACAGCGAGCCTGCTGCCGCCGGAAATGAACACAGGGGCCGTTGTGGCGACGACCCGGACTGCGACCCGGATAAGGTGAGCGAGGAATCTCAAGCGGACGTAGCAGACGAGCTATGGTGATGGCAGTATGAAGGAAGCTTAGCTAAAGGCGATGGTCTCAACGCCGAGACGGCTGACGACGAAGCATCCAGCGTCGCAGACGACAGACCCCGGCTCTCGAGGAAGCCAGATCCGCCACGCCGGCCCCTCCGGAAGGGTACGCGCGGGGCTGGGGACAGGGCGGCAGGCGAGGACAACGAGACTGTCCCACTCAGCACAACGCTGACGACAGGACTGGTTCCTCGCGCGGATGCAGGGACCAGTGGAGTTACGACAGGTCCTCAGACCGCCGGGCCACGCATTCTCGCGGCGACGCCTGGCATCACCAGGACATGCGCACGGGAGACGACGGGATATTCAATCATGGCATATGGGTGCCCTTCTCCAGGAACCCACTGTCCATCTACGAGCCCAAG